CTGGCAAAAGAAGGATATTTCACTCAGTAATATTTGGCCCTGGTTAAATCTGGTATTAAGATGTGTTTTGGTCGATCGGATCACAGGTGGACGACTCTAAATACAGGTGTAAACAGGGTCTAAAATGTTATGAGTTTGACCTCTTCCAGAGCTAGTGGAAAACACACTCGACCGGATTGCTTTCGCTCATGTGGTTGATTGTGTTCAAACCGCCACAAAAGACCGTCTTCTCTTTATTAACGCTATGGGAAGCGCTCGAGCCAGACGGGATTGAAACTTTCTCGACTGAAGACTCAAGTTTGGTTTGAAGATGAAAAACATACCAAACACAATATTGTCTCACCATTCTCACACTCACAGCGTTCGGCTGGTCTTGTGTCTGTCAGAGTAGAAACTAAAGCTGATGCTCTCCGTGTGTTTTTCTGTCGTCTCCCGTCAAGCTTATTTTTTCCAATAGATTGAAAGATTTGATAAAGCCCAAACATTTACCCACCCATAGACCCTCTCCTCGAAGAAATCAGGACAGAAGTGGTGGACAAGAGATGGATTAAAACACAGAAAAACACACAAAATGGCCAAATATTGATAAATGATAATTGAATGAATGGTTAATGTCCTGCCATTCTCTTTCACTAGAGTAATGAATAAAAAATGTTGAATTTTAATATTTTGTGTAAAAGGTTAACCATCACACAATCACCAAATCATCATCCATTTTAAATGTCTTGTATCTGGATGAATAGTAGTACCAACTGGTAAAATGTTCTTCTTTCTAAACTCTTAGTCAAGTGTTTCCTTTGTTTCACCATCATCGCTGAATCGGCAAATGCCACAGTTGCACAAATTATTTAATAAGTTATGGAATGTTGTTTGCACTTCATGCATTTACAGTGTACTACTGACCCCAGAAAGTACGGCGTAATAAAAGGTAACTACATGGTAGGGCTGTGCAATAAATCTTAAATAAAGCTTCCGTTTATGTAAACATAAACTAGTTAAACTATTATTTACCGCTGCCACATAAACGGTGCATTCCTCACTGCCCCAAACTTAAAGGAGTAGTTCACTTTTAAAAAAATGTCATCCATGTCATCCAAGATGTCCATGTCTTTCTTTCTTCAGTTGAAAAGAAATTAAAGTTTTTGATGAAAACATTCCAGGATTTTCTCCATATAATGGACTTCAATGGCAACCAAACGGTTCAAGGTCCAAATGAAAGTTTCAGTGCAGCTTCAAAGGGCTTTAAACGATTCCAGACGATGAATAAGGGTCTTATCAAGCGAAACGATCACTCATTTAATAAATAAATAACAAAGTTTAAGTTTTATAAGCTCAAATGCTCACCTTGCTCTGTTCGTGACTCTCCTGTTCGAACTCGTTCATCAAAACGAATGAATCTTTTTCCGAGTCATTTGGTTGATTCAATGAACGAAATGACTCAAAAGATTTGTTCGTTTTGATGAACGAGTTCGAACAGGAGAGTCACGAACACGCATCACCGAACAGAGGAAGCATTTGAGCTTATAAAACTTGTGAAAAATTAAAAAAATGGCCGATCGTTTCGCTTGATAAGACACTTATTCATTGTCTGGTGTCGTTTAAAGCCCTTTGAAGCTGCACTGAAACTCCTTGAACCTTGAACCGTTTGGTTCCCATTGAAGTCCATTGTATGGAGAAAATCCTGGAATGTTTTCATCAAAAACCTTAATTTCTTTTCGACTGAAGAAAGAAAGACATGGACATCTTGGATGACATGTGGGTGAGTAAATTATCAGCAAACTTTTTTTTTTTAAAAGTGAACTACTTTAACATCCAAATCAGTAGGGCTGTCAACTTTAGTCGTTTAGTCGACTAATCGGTCGATGCCGTCTTGGTCGACTGACATTCTTATTGGTCGACCAGTTGCATTTTTTTTTTCAATGATTTCCTCCTTGATATTTATTCATTTATAAGCAGTTATTTATTACTGTATTCTAAATATAATTAGCCTATGTTTTGTCCCCAACTTTAAAATGCTTTAATTTAGGCTATTTTTGTAACTGCGCCACAGTTTAGCAGCGCACACACATAATACACTCGGGAACCGCACCTGTGGCCGGCTGCGCTGCTGCTCGCGCTCGGTAAGGGATGCTGTATTCATTCAGTTGGAACGCTGCTTGTTTTGGCTTTAGTTGACAAAATGTCCAGGAAATCTAAATCTTTTGTCTGGCTGCATTTTAAAACAAAGACGACAAGACTGTGGAGGGAGGCGATCGCGTTGCTCCATTATGAGTGCGCAAGTCGCGCGCCTACATTTGAAATCGAACTTGAACGCGCAAAAGACGTGAGCAGCCTTTTAACGGTTATATCATGCTGACTCAATAGATTGCGTTTTCTTAATGTTTTCGTTTTTATTTGTACACTTGACGCATTTGAAAATAGCCTAAATAATGCAACAAAACGAAAATAAACCTATACACGGTCCTACAGCCTATTATTAGGATTGTTTTTAAGTTATTTGGGTTTTTTGTGTGTTGTTTAAAACGCCTTGATCGTCAGGACGAAAGTTAACCCATAGCTTTGAAAGTAAAGAAGAATATAAAGCCTGTACGAGACGAGAGAGCTTTTGTTGGGACTTTTCATTATGTGGCAGATAGCAGTTATATTTTTTGCAGCGTGTGGTGTGGTCAGGTGCGCGATTGTGACTGTTACTATAGACCGAGGACAGAGCTCTTCACTTTTTGCAGTTAAAAAATCACTTAATTTTCAAAGAATTGTATTATTATTATAGTTTTATTTATTTGTGATGTTTTTCGTTGTTGTTTTATAAATGCTCAATGACAATTGTTTAAAAAATGTTTAATCAAAATATCAAGTTTTTTTTTTTTTTAGTCGACTAATCGTTGCGCAGGACTCGACTTTGGTCGACTAAGAATTTCTTTGGTTGAATACAGCCCTACAAATCAGCTAAACAAGTGTGTTGTAAAATATAGTCTATTGTTGCTAAACTTCGGGACATGTTTGTTTGATATTAGACCGTGTAAAAGTATCCTCATAACTACATTAAGCCCCTTTTTCACAGAGATTCCGGAAAATACACAGATGATGGGACCCGGCATTTGTCCCGGTGTTCTGACAATTCATGCTACCCATAGAGATTTGCTACTTACCGGTTATGCGCATGTGCAGACTCAGTTTTTTTTTTTTTTTTTTTTTTACAAAAGGTACATTTTCCTGTTATAATGTATAATTTCCCTTTAAAAAATGCTTACTATCATATGAATATTTGTACGGTTGGCCAGCTAAAAAAGAATAACTGAAAGTTTCAGTTACTATGAGGAAAGGTGTACTTTGACAAGTCAAAGATGAATATTTTATGATAATTTTTACTTTTCACACCGTTTTAAAAATAAAAACAGTAGTCTACAATATACAGTAGCTACTCATAACTTAGAATTTTATTATAATTGTATTTCATACGACTTTAATCGGCATTCTGTGATCAATTCGCGCTATGGTAGCATTTTTCGACAAAGCAGCAAAAATCAACAGAACACCGGGATTGTTTGATTTCGATTCATTCACACTGCGAGTGATTTGCCGGGTTATGTGAGTGCGTTCACACACAACCCGTAAATATCCCGGAAAGACGCATGACGTCAGGATGAGACGTGTAACTTACGCGTCGAAAACATGTACACGCGCATACCGTTCCACAAAGCTGGAAACGATCTCAGCTTCAGTACGGATAGTGAGGAGCTCCTGGTCTCCGCTTCGTTCCAGTTTGCAGACATTTGTTCGTCTTTTCTTTGTCGATGACGAACACAAACTTTCTTCTAAGAGCAACAGAATCGCGCGATGCCACGAGCGTCATCACTATGACACACCCCTTACGGCATTGGTCCTGGCTTTTGTTCACACAGCGCGCGTTCCGCGACTGATCCCGGCAATGTTACTAGGTCCCCAACCCGGGATCGAGGCCGCTATCAATCTCGGGTCGTGTTTGCGTTCACACACCGCGTTGTGTGAAAGGGGCTTTAGTTAACACCTAGTATTAGGTTTTGCTGAAGGAGCCTATCGATAATTGTGCAATTTTACTGCTACTGAAAATGACTCATATAAAGAAATAAGACTTTGATCATATCGCCCACCAATATTCGTGTTAAATAATAGCGATTTCTTTCACTATTGACAAATTATCTTGATTGTTTTTTTGCCGTAATCGAGCAGCCCTACTACATGGACTTAACAGGTTAGGATTATGATTTAGTTCTTACTATAATACGTACTTAGTATACATGCATGACAGAAGTAGAGCCAGACCGATATATCGGCAGACCGATATTAGGCATTTTCTAAAATATCGGTATCGGCAGTTATAATGGCCGATAAATGAATATTTCAAAAATAAAATAAAAACGGGCGAATCACGCTTCAACCATGTCATGAGTGTTGGAGTTGTATATTTTGTCCAGCAGAGGGCACTCTACACCATTCCTGTTGGCAACACTAGTGTATAACGCGCCACACATCCTGCAGCCAGAGTCGGGCAGAGAGAACCAGTTATGCATTATCATATTATTTTAGTTAAAACTCATAATTAACCACAAATAACTAATGTTAGGGAAATCTGATAATATTTTGTTGCTCGTTTCTGAAATAAAATAATAATAATAATATCGGCCGATATATCGGAATATCGGATTTTAAAACCAACAAATCGGTATCGGCCTTCAAAATCCTTTATCGGTCGGTCGGGCTCTAGACAGAAGTGTAAAATAAAGTCCTACTGAAATTTGAATCGAATGCGATGAGATAATAAAAGAAAACGTACCTTTCTGTTGAGTTTCTCAAATTAAAATGGAAGAGATTGTTTGAGACACTATAACTCTCCTGCTTTTCAAAGTTATTGCTCGCGTTTTGTGTGTGGTAAGCCGAGTCCTTATGCAGCGCTGCATATTCATCCCTTACCGAGTGCAATTTCAAGACAGATAATCCCTCTTTGTGTGTTTCTCCTCTAGGGCAAAATGTGGGCGACTGGGAAGTTGACATCAATACGTTGAGGCCACTGTTCTCCTTCTCCCCGCACCCTGGCAGTCTGAGAAATCAGACGTTACTGTGACAAACCTGGGCCGCTGGCACTAAAATGTCCCTAAGTGGTGGCACTGCAGGCGGGAAAGGTGTGGACTCGAATGCGGTGGACACTTACGACAGCGGTGATGAGTGGGATATCGGGGTTGGAAATCTGATTATCGACCTTGACGCTGACCTAGAGAAGGACAAACTCGAGATGTCTGGCACCAAGGACGGAGGGGGAATGGCAGCTCCACCTAGCGCAGTAGCGGCTCTGCCAGACAATATTAAGTTCGTTAGCCCAGTTAGTGCCCCTCAGGGCAAAGAGAGCAAATCCAAATCCAAACGCAACAAAAATTCGAAAGACAATAGCAGCAAGTCTCCGGCTGCAGACGGAGCGAAAAAGGAGCATCAGGGACGGACCCAAGGGGAGGTTACTGGTGCGACCGGGAGTTCAGGAGGCGGCAACTCCGCTACGGGCAAAGGTGCCGAGAAGGGCGCCAAGGCCTCGCGCGGCGTGCCAAACAGCAAAAAGGAAAAGGAAGTATCGAGTGGGAAAAACAAGAAGGAAAAAAGCGAAAGCGCACCAGTTGCGGTCGTGGCAATTGAGAAGGAGATAGTTGCCAACGCTCAGGCGTTTGGAGGCACGCGCAACACGCCCTTTGACAATACGCAGAACGCGGACGTTGCTGTGACGGAGCAGCTTGGGAATAACGCTCTGGAAACTGTTGGAATTGTCTCTCCGTTAGCTATTAAAACCGAGCCGGAGGAGCTTGACGGGGAATGCCGAGTTCTCAAGAAGATGAAAAATGAAAAGGTAAGCGCGGGTGGCCCGCTTGTGTATTTGAGCCATTTAGCAGCTACTGCAAATTGTGTTATTGATGTATTGACAAACTATTAACGACTTAATCAACCTGAACGCAAGTGAGCGTTTCCTCCTGTTTTTGGCATTGTGTGTGCTTTTAGATTGACTATTTTGCAACTTTTTGAACAGAAAGTAGAGAGGGGAACTTGCATATACGCCTTATTCACGGCAGCGCCATCTTTGATTTTTAATGAGAATGAAAGCGAGGCTGTGAGGGATAGACTTGCATCTCTTCAATGGGCTGTACGTAAGGGTTAATGCCCGACGAGGTGTCCATTGTCAGGTTTTAATGGACGACGTCCATTAAAACCTGACAATGGACACCTCGAAGGGCATTAACCCGCTTATACCATGGTCACTTGCCAAATAAAACATTTTTAAAACATTAGCTGCTAGTTTATATTTTAATTAGGCTAAATCACGTTTTTACAAATATTAACTCGCCTGGTTTATTTAGCAACCGGAGATATTTATAGTCCGCTCAGCTTGTAGAACCCTTCAGGTTCAAAAATGCATTTTTTTTTTTCATGAAACACAAAGGTAGGCATAGTTATTATTATTTCTTTTAATTACACATAAAACAATTTATCAAACAGGCTTCTTAGGCTTGAAACGCTGTACTCTCCTCCTGACTTGGTTGTCTGAACTGCTGCGTAAAACTCCCGCAGGGTCTCATTCAGAGCAGCAGCGGTGTAATTTTCTTTGCGACGTTTCTCCGTTTTATTTACATTTTTTCTTTCTTCAGCAGCATCCCAGTCGTCAAAGTTGTCATATTCTCCATAAATGTTAAAAGAAATAATGAAGTCGCTCATTGTTGTATTAGTAGGCCATGGAATATCTAACTAACGTTAGATGTTTGTTTTGATAGAGCAAATTGTTGACGGATACTTTGACTGCCTGTTGCTATGGTTACTCACAGCTGTTGTAGGCAGCGCATTTATTTATTCATTTCGAATGGTAAACAGGCAGTTTCACCAGAACTACTTTACTAGGTGTCCTCTATCACTTTTTAACGGACACCCTGCAGCCAATCAGAATCGAGTATTCACCCAGACCATGGTACAATAATGTTATTTAATGTTTTTGTTTTGTTCTGCTCATGAAAAATATCTTTCCAAGAAATTTTAGTTGACAAAAAACTCCCGACAATATAAGCTGTGGAAAATTGTAAGCAATCTATCTAGGAGCTTTATTCCTATATAACGCTTTTTACAGCGGATGCCATTGGGAACATGGTAAGTCTATCCCTCATAGCCTCACTTTTATACCTGTCTTTTATATTTTATACACTTTTATACCGGTGATGGCGCCGTGGATAAGACACATGCCTTTGGTGTGAGATACCCGGCTTCGAATCTACTGTGAGACACCAATGTGTTCCTGAGCAAGACACTTAACCCCTAGCTGATCCAGAGGCGTGCGACCTCTGACATATATAGCAATTGTAAGTCACTTAGCTAAATGAAAATGTAATGTTACCCAAATAAGGTAAAAGAAAAGGCTCGGGCATTTTAAATGCTTCTCACAGTGTGTATAAAAACGTATTCAAGCAATATTTACAGTATTATGCTAACATTGTTACATTACAAATTTGTTTGGCTTGTTTTCCCCCCCTGTCGTTCCGGTCTTTGAATGGAGGGAAGTTTAGGACTGGTTTGGCTGTTAATCTCAGGAGCCAAAGATGTGTTTGGCGGGGGAGGGGAGGAAAAAAAACTCAGACCCCTCACCACTGGCCTAAACTTGCTGTGGGGGAAGGTCATTTATCTGCATGTATACAAGCTTTTAATCTGAACAGAACAGCTTCTGTGCTTCTGGGGATCATTAAAATTAGGAAGGAAATTCCAATTAAAGCTTCAAATCCAGTTTCAGATCTCAAGCTGATAAGTGATGACTTTGTTTGTTTGTAAGTTTTACATTGGCCTTTTATTGTGGCTTCCACTGTTCAGTTAATTATGTACCGTTTTCCAAGTACATGCCGTTCGGCTAAAAGAACAAATGCGGATTGTCATATTCATTACTGGATTATGTTGTTGCGTAGATTTGAGCCTACCATGTGAGTTTTAAAGCCAAGTTTTTTGTCTTTTCTGTAGCATGGTGTGGTGGTAGATTAAGTAGATAACCAAATTTCAGATATTGATTGAACCAAAGCCAAATCCTGCACTCCCCCAGATTTCCATAGTGTGCAATCTTCTTGGAAACATCAGTACAGAAGACATGGTGATTGTTTACATGACTTGATTCTCGGGTCAAGTAGATATTATGCAATTAGATTACAAACTTGAAGTAAGAATGCAGTGTTTTGTGCCAAAAAATTGGTCCGTTTTGCAGTTTATGTTGTGACATGCATTGGTATTTAAAGGGATACTCCACTTTTTTTTTTGGAAATAGGCTCATTTTACAACTCCCCCTGAGGTAAACAGTTGAGTTTTACTGTTTTCGAATCCATTTAGCCAATTTTTTGATATTTAGAAGAATATCAATAACCAGACAGTTTCTGGTCTCATTGACTTCCATAATATATTTTTTTTCCTACTATAGAAGTCAATGAGACCAGAAACTGTCTGGTTACTGATATTCTTCTAAATATCAAAAAATTGGCTAAATGGATTCGAAAACAGTAAAACTCAACTGTTTACCTCAGGGGGAGTTGTAAAATGAGCCCATTTCCAAAAATAGTGGAGTATCCCTTTAATGTAAATTGAATTCCTGTTAGACAGTTTGCATTTAGTCTATACGTTCAATACATTTATTGACTGATTGGTAGATAATCTGCTTTTTCCCCTCCTTTGTTTTTGGTGTTGCAAAATCCAACTGGTTGGCCTCTAAATTTTAGTATTGGTGATGGTTTTGCACGTTTAAAATGATTTAAGCTTACGCGAGAAGGAATTCAGTAGAATATAAGTAAAAAAATAAAAATCTGCAATTGGGAAACAAAGCCTTTCCGTGGTGCGTTTCCCTCAGCTTTGTACATGGCGACTGCGAGTATGTCTGGATGGGTGTTGAAGCCAGCAGAGAGTGGGGGAAGGGCGCGCGAGCGAGCGAGCTAGCACTGCTAATTCAGCTCATGAAAGGCTTGAGCAGTGAGAGCAGCTGTCCTCCATTGTCAGCCAGCAAATTTCCAGCATGCCTCATTTCACCTCTCAATGTGAGCAGAGAGAAAGCTAGAGGGCAGAACAGAGGGGGATAAACAAACAGAGACCGATAAATGAGAGAAGGAATGAATAAATGAGAGAGAACTGTTGAATGCCTCAAGTTGCCGCAGTGCTTCCAAACGGAGGTTGGGGAGATCATGTGTTAAATGCCAGCGATGGAGTCTGGGTGTAGCTTTGCGAGGCGTTGGAAGGTGCTCTGCTCGAAGGGGGAACAAATGACCTGGCTAAATGAAAGAGGGGGAGAAGGGTTGCTTTGTAAGTGGATGAAGTATTTAACTTCCTACACACTTGTTAGCATTCCTAAAAGGCGAAAGAGGACTGCTGAAGAAATCAGGATTTTGTCACTATTCTGAAAATACAAAGTATTATTTAGCTCACACTTCCACTATGATAAGCCCTGCTCAATGTTGTGGTAATCTGAAGGGTTAGTTCACTCAAAAATGTCTTCTCGTACAGATTTAATTTAGGCTTTTTTTTCAGAATCAATGCACATTAGTAGGGGTGTAACGATACCCTCAAGTCAGGATTCGATACATATCATGATACTGAACTCACGATACGATATTATTGCGATACTCAAAGACATTATGAAAAAGATTTACTGTTGATTAAAATGCTAACTTTGATATTACAATATGTTTGTTTGGACTTGGTGCTTGTAACCCAAGGACAATGGTGACACTAAAATATGATTCTGAAGCTGAAAATACAGAATTATTTTAGACGAATATGCTTGTACTCTATCACTGACTAGATATATTTAAAATAATGTCGGCCACTTACTAAAACTCTGAAAAATTAGATTTTTTTTTCTTGCACAGTAATTTTTATTTTGGGGGAAACTATCCACGATACATATTGTCACTATCCATGATACGAATTTTCACTATCCACGATACGTATTGTTGCATTTTTTTATTGCGATATATTGTGGCACGATATATTGTTACACCCCTACACATTAGAGCTGCACGATTTGGGATAAATTACAAAAAAAAAATGTTTAAAATGGAGATCACAATTTTCTACGCAATTCTGACAATTTTAATTGCTGCAGTCTAGTAATTAAGTTAAGTGAATAATTCAATGACTCACTCACAATCACTTCACTTGTTTCATTACTGGATGAATCAGGTTTTTTGAACGATCCTCTTGAATGAATGATTCAGTGATTCAGATAAACACTTGTCGCCACCTACTGGTGTAATGATGTAATTATACAATTTTTATTTGAAGCTGTCATTGAGGAATAAGATCACATGACCAAGTTTTTGTTTCGTGGACTTTTAATAATGAGACCTTTGTTCTTAAAGCTACACTGTGTAACTCTTTTAGTTTATTCATAGATAAAAACACTTAGTTCTTTCATTCGTTAATGTATATTTACTTCGTTCAAGTAATAAAGTATTCTCGTGAGTGTATAATATGCCATTGAAAATACATACGGGTAAGGGGTTCGCCATGTTGCCCCTCCAACTTGAAAGTACATTAGCCAAAGAGGGACATACCCGTTAATTCAGGCTTACGTTTGAGTTAACACTCATGGACGAGGTCGAACTGGAAGCCATGTTAATCTTGGACTACATTGGCCACCGTAGGAGTTAAAACGACATTGGAATTGAGAGGAACAGAAACTAATATTCACTGGATGGTCATATACCTTTTCACCACTAGTTGGGGGTAAAAATCACACAGTGTAGCTTTAATTATTGTTAATGAATAAAAATATATATTTTTGGGGGTGAACTAACCCTTTAAGATATTTTTTGAGATCTGATATATTACAGGAAAGTAAGTTTT